AGCACATATTGATGTTTCTCCGTTTTAGGGTTTCTGCTAGTTCTTGACTACGTCCGGTTAGTGATCCTAGATTCCATGTCGCCATTCTTATTTTGGTAATTGGTTGCGAACAGTTGTTCTTGTCATGGGAGTCGTCGCTTACGGGGGACGCCCTAGCAGTGTTCGCATTTTTCGCAATCTTTCCGTCGCTTCCGGGGGACGCCCTAACTTTACCCTTTTTTCTTTCGCTTGTCTTTTTCATAATTAGGAGAAGATTTTTGGCTACTGTTTTACGGCCGGTTGCCACCTGACGCCAAGGTGTAACCCTCGTGGAGGGCTCGGGGGCCGCCGTTGACCCGAAGGTTCTTCCGCCGCCTCCCCTACTGTGTGCTCCAAACCCAGCACCCAGCACGTCTGCAACCTCACCTCCGAGTATGTCAGAGAAGCCTACAGACGGGGTTTGATGACGGAGTTTCCATCTCCGGCCTTGTGGTCCGCGGGAGGTATTGTATTTCCCTCCTACCCTCCGGGGGATTTAACTCCTCCAGTGGGCGTTCCACTATCCGCCACCTGTGGACGCGGTCTCTAGGGAATGAGGAGGTACTCCAAATAATAATAAACTGGAATATTGATTTCCCGTTTACAAACAAGGAAAGGACATTAAATCAAAAGAAAATGTTGGCAGTGGTAAAAAAATGGTTTTATCGATTAGAATGATCGATTGTTGTCTATATTCACAAATAAAGATGATCGATTATTGTCTATCATATATTCCCAAATAAAGAATGACTAGTTTGTTAACATGTGTTATAAAAATGAGTAGGAGATGAACTATGTCGATAAATACGTTTACGTAGACCAGGTAGTAAAAATATTGATCGTCGCATTGATAACACGCGGAAGAGCTGCTGGTCCTGCAAACTCTTACTTGAGACTCTTAAAAAAACTCTTAAAAAAACTCACCAAGGGGTATATATATTACCTGTACCTACAGAGCCCAAATGTTGTCCCTTACTGCGCGTCAAAAGTACAGACTCGGGGTTTTGTCAGAGGGCTATGGAATGGCATCTGGTTCGTGTGAGAAACGTGGAATTGAGTACCTAGCAGACGAGACCGAGATAACATCCACATTCAAGTAGAACTCAGTCAAACACGTTAGGCGTATGAATATATGTGGTGGGCTAGAGTTGTCACGCCGTGGCACTCACAGGACGGAAAACTTCGTCAGGAACCTCAATGCTCATCGTAAGGACTGAGGCAACTCGCTAAAGATCGAGATGGATGGAAACGGAAGGGAGGGGGCTTTGCGCTGTGGGTCATCAACAGCTAATATAAAAACGCGATTTAAGTTATATACCTTATTGAAATATGAATTATGTCCTAGTACGTGATACGTGGTTTTACTATTTATTTATTATTTAAACCAGATTTGATAAATATGATGTATTATTTATCTATTTTATGTAAAATTTGAGGTTCTGTGAATGTCGCCTGTCTATGAAAAGAGTAGGCTTTTGTGGCATGAATTTTTTCTTTAAGTAAAAAGTAACAAAAAGGATGAACCATATTTGGCGATTACTAGCTTGTGATTAACACATAACATAACATTACGTTGTAAAAAAACTTCATCGACTACGGTAAGAAATTAGGGGAATTTGGGCTTTGCAGGACTTAGACAAATTAAGAATATAGATATATCTCCTCAAATGATTTTATTTGTGATGACTTTCACATGAATTAAATTACTTTTGATTTACATTATTTGTGACATAAAACTGATTAACAATGATTTAACTGTTTAACTATGACCTGAATTTCCTTGACCTTTCTATTTCTACTTGGTTTGTTGAACGCAAATGTTTTCTGGCTGATGTTAGAAAACATTTGCGTTCTCTCGATCTTGGACTAAAACTCACCTTAACCTTAAATTGCATTGCATTGAAATTTATGTAAAAGCTTATGAAAAATCAATTAATACGATTTTTATTAAAATAAATTTAGGTAACGTGTTTAAAAAATAAATGTTAGTATTACAAGTGGACCTCACTATAAAGATCGAACGGATTTAAATAAATCTCAAATCACTACTTTTCAAATGTATAGAGATTATAACGCGAAAAGAATTCTTGAGAAAATTTGAATACTTTAAGAGAAATGCACATATTTAAAAAGTTTCAAGTAATTTCAAAAACAAATTCAAGATACTAGACGTTTCCAGTACATTTAATGACGTGTCATTGTACTTAAGTAGATAATGACAGTTCAAGTAAGATTTTTATTTTTTATTTTTTTTATTTTTTTAAAAAAGACAACGCCCGCATTAGGAATAAATCCTGTGTCGCGGGGGACTTTACAAACATACATGAAACGGACACAAAGAACACCCAGACTCAGAACAACAATTTGTGGATCACACAAAGTGTCGTCCCATGTGGGGTTTGAACCCACAACACTCGGCGTAGTAGGAAGCGGCGTGGCGACCGCTTAAACCACTACGCCATCCGTGCAGTCACATGTTTTAGACATGACTAGATAATAAAATAAACAAAAATACAGTCGAATTGAGAACCTCCTCCTTTTTTGAAGTCGGTTAAAAAAACACCACAGTTAGACCTCTAGTTTGCATTAAAGCACGAGTTTCTGCAGTTATATTAGAGGAGAGATATAAAATAAATATTTCAAAAGTCAAAAAAACAATCTTTTTTTCAAAAGAAATAAAATAATTAAGTGTTTTTGTTTTATTTGTACGTTTAAAATACATAATTTGGCAATCTTCCTATTTTGTGAACTTATTTCTACAATATCATATTTATATTTTAAGAAACTAAAGATAAAAACATTTGTTATCTTTTCTGAGGTATACTTTAAACAGATTTTTACTTATTTAAAAAAAAGAAAACTGCATTGTCTACATATAATTTTGTGAAAACGTGTTATAAGAACGCTCATTATCGTATCGTATCGTACAAGATAAAATAACTATAAGTATAGATTAAATAAATTAAAAAAAAAACCTCCTCTACTTTACTTCCACACAATAGGGACTCATAATGTATTTAAAACTAGATATTGTTTCATTCCTTCTCTAAATATAGATCCGTCTAATAAATTATTGTGAAAAGTTGTTTTGTTGGCTATAGAATAATAATAAGCGTTTGAGTAACTGTTTAAGAGAAGTTTAAGTGTTTAAGATTGTACAGAAATCATTAAATATCGGTATATAATATAATATTTCTAACAATTGTATGGTTTAGTGGATTGCAACGAGGCATAGAATATTAAGTACTATATGAATCCCATATAAAAAAATCTCTAGAACTCACCTTAAAATTAAAAGCAAAGGGGCGTAATTTATAATAAGTATCACGTTTTATTTGTTGTTGCGGTTTTGGCCACACTTCCCCTTTCGTCGGTGGATATTTCGGACCAGGTTCAACAATAATAATCCTGGCTACTAAAATAACGCTTAAGGCGTTAAAAATAATAACGTGCCTCAACATTACGGCGAACCAGTAAATTAATGTAGGTACTATTCGGTTGATAGCCCGCTGTAAACTGTTATTTACATAGAAATATAAGCATAGAGTGAACACTGGGTGCAGCTGCCTGTGAGTGGAAGCGATCAAGGCAGCGAGAGATATGCATGCCATGAAAGTTCCCTCTGTCTCTGTTTTGCTAAGCTGCAATTGGCTACCGTGATGTAAACATGGTTTTGATCTTAGAAAATGCCGGATATTAGAAATTTCGCAAACAAATTGGGTGTAAATAATTCAAACATAAAAAAACAATTTAAAATTGGAAGATTAAACTAAACTGTATTTTAAAATATAAAATAAAAGTATTATCTAAAAATAAACGTATTACCTTTCATCATCATCATCATCATCATCAGCCTATGGCAGTCCACTGTTGGACATAGGCCTCTCCCATGGTACGCCACTTAGATCGATTTTGGGCTTCTCGCATCCAGCTCCTGCCATTCATCTTGCGCAAATCGTCACTCCACCTGGCCTGTGGCCTACACTACGTCCTATTACCTTTTAATCAGTTAAAATTAAATAAATATTTACCACACCCTCCCCAGCCAACCACAGAGCTTGACTAGAAAGAGATAGATGGAACTATCTAGCATCCATCTCTCGTTGCCTTTATTGCAAGATTGGGGCTCTTGGTTACTCTAAGGTCTCTGATATCTCTATGAATCTACTACTAACATTAATTGATGTTTGTTTTCGCTATTACCCACTAGAGTACGCTACTAGTAAAAAGTTAGCCTATAAACAAAAAATTACCCCAAAGTATTCTGAGTGTGTAGGATGTAAACAAAAATACAGGCAAATACAGACATTCTTACCTGCACACAAAGCAAATGTATATATGACCTGGAATATGCTAACATGACTTAAAAGAGTTTTAATAACATAAAGCCTTTTGAGCCTTATACTTATGAAAATTTAGCGAATATAGGTCTGGCATAAGGCGCTTCTCTCAAAGCTCCCTCCCTATGGGCTTCCCGAGAAATTATGTAACTGGTTCATCAGTTTCTTTGCGGACAGAAGCGTAAAAGGTCGTTGTCGAAGGTGCATGCTCCGCCTTGAAATCCGTAGATGCTGGTGTCCCGCAAGACTGTGTGCTGAACAAGACAGTGTGGGTGAAAACCCACACTTTCTTCTGCATTTCATTGACATATTGTAAACTAGTAGCATCCATTGCTATTCACATTATTAGTACGGGAGATGCCCTTTATACCGGCGATATGCCCTTTATGCCCGTCATCGAGAGTCGAAACAAACTTGTGTCTGAAGTTGAAACTTCCTTAGCGGTTTCAGATTTAACAGTACATTTTGTACATATATAATATTGGAAAAAAGTACAAAAAGTCGATCATTAGTAGAACTGCTGAGTAAAAGAATGGTTAAGTAAATCACAGAAAATTGTTACTACTTTATGGGACTCGCTTATCTGCCTCCGAATTCCTGGACGAAAATGCAAGAAAGTAGCTGTATATATTATGCAAAGAAATGATTAAAGCCAGAAATGCTGGGCATTTTGCAATAATCAGAAAAAATATATTGTATATACTCGTAGATGGCAAGCTAACAACTCCAAAGGAAAAAATGACCCACAAGAAACAACACAAACAGAACACTATCAACCTGCAATCTACAGTATCCACGCGATTATAATACCGAAGCTATGAACCATTCCTTTCGTGGGCCACGATGTTGGAATGTTAAATATTTAATTTCTAAATGCACAAAGCCCATGAAACAAACAACATAACATATCTAAAAGCAATTATTCAAGAAAAAATCCTCACTCACACAGTCCATCGACCTTTTTTTGAGTCTACCTCTTCTCAACGAAATGTATGATTGTACATCTACATGTATTTGTATGTACGTAACGTATTAGGTGTAATATAGTAGATAAAGTCCGTAAGGCTACAAATAACATAAAAGCAAAGAATTTGTCTAATACGTATTACATGATCCTTAAAACCGAAGTAAAATATCTGCTGTTCGTGTTCTTTCACCAGCTTTTGACGTCTTTATCCTTGTTGTGGTGTTTGTAAGATAGTGCTTGTAGCAATAATATCATTGAACATGTTCACCCGAGAATATTTCTTGTAATAAATTCAAATATGTTGGTGACACAGTAGAAGTCGTTTTCTCCTGTTTCGTTAACTGGGTTTAAGGGACGTTGTAACGAATACTGAAATAGTGTAATCAGACCATCATTCTGAGTCGAAAATCATTGGAATTTTCTACATTCTTTTATTCATCCTTCATCCTTCTTTTATTAAATTTCAATTTTTTTGGCTAAAATTATAAAAAATTATATCACAATGAGTAAACAGAACATTTTACAAAAAAACAAAATTAATAAATACCGCATACCATGAACTTGTGTTAGTGTGTGTAGACTGTTTGCATGGAATACAAATGTAGTTATTACTTTTGTGCCATACCTACCGCTTAAGTCAAACATTTGTGTGCATAAACATTTAATGTTCGATTTGGTCTGGGTGTTTCCATGTATAATTTAGTATTTATAAAAAAAAGTATTGATGTATTTATTAAATATCAGTTGTCTAGTATCCATGGTTCGAGCTCTGCTTAGTTTGGGACTAATGGTGTTGTGTAAATGTGGTATAATATTATTACTATATTAAAACTAACAATTTTCTATCGCCCCATATCTGATTAACATCATATAATGTCCAACAGAGAGCAAATATATGGCTGGCAGCTGTTACCAAGCAGAATGTGAACGCTGCAATGGTATTTGAGTTCCTGCTCAAGATCATAGATGTGATGCAGTCATACTTCGGCAAGATCTCTGAAGAGAACATCAAGAACAACTTTGTTCTTATCTATGAGTTGCTTGACGGTAAGTAAAACGGTAAACAGTAAGTAAGCGTTTTATTCAAAACGTAAATAGACTTCTGAATGTAAACAATTATTAAATTCATGTAAAGTCTAACAAACACATATATTTATTCGGTTACGCAGAAGCCTGGTCCGTTAGGAGGCTGAGCGTAGACGCCGCGACGGTTCATGCGGCAAGAATGTTCCTCGAGGCGGTGGAACACATCCTGCGGCGGATTGTAAGAGTAATAACCATATCTGTGGTGCTGTAGTTCTGGACTCCACAGCTTCTCTGCTACAGCGCTAGTGCGGGGCCATACTCTATAATTGAACATAGTGCACATTTAATAAAGTATCTGTAGATGTACTTTTATTATTAACAGTACGCTATTATTTTACATTGTAACATCAGCCATTCGCCTTACGCCTTTCGAACCTGCCTGGGAATGTCATTGACTTTAGGTAGGAAAGTAGGTAAAATAGGGTTAGGAAAATAGATAGGTCGAGGAACCAAATAAAATGACACTAAGTCTCGGATAGGGAAACGGGACGGAGAGGCCGGAATCGCATACCCGTTACTACTCTCGTACAAGGACAGGGACAAAAACTGGCTAAATTCTTGAAACTGTAACCAAACTTACAATATAGTATTCTCTTTCTATAAATGTTATGACCAAACTAACTTTGAACAAAGATTTAAAATGTGACGTATAACCGGGAATTTAAGGTTTAAAATTGAACATATAAGCGACAATATAAGGTTTTTTATGTAGTGGGTGGAAACAAGTAGACGGAACACCTACGGGAACTACCCCCCCCCATCCATGGCCACCTGTTACTCAAGAGATGCAAGTGAGTTGCTACCTTTTGTATGTCCCAAGAATTGGGGGTGATAATGATGTCAAAACTTATATTATTGTTCATGAGTCGAGTCGAGAGTAAAATTTTTTTTAAAGTCATTTCGCGCATTTGAGTTAGATCCTGTGTCACGGAGGACTTTATAAACATACTTGAAACGGTCACAAAGAACACCCAGACGCAGAACAACAATTTCTGGATCATACAAAGTGTTGTCCTATGTGGGGATCGAATCCAGAATACTCAGCGCCTTAAGGACTACTACGCCATCCGTGTCCTTCATCAACAGCCTATACTAGTCCACTGCTGGACATAGACCTCTCCTTAGAAAGGAGGTTTTGGCCTACTATACCACGCTGGCCAGACGGGTTGGTATAGGCTTTGTTTCAAGTTTTCCTTCTCTTTGCAGTGCTGTTGTCCTGCGTTAGCTCCCTTAGTCAGCTCTTACGACACCCACGGGATGAATTGGGGTGGTGACAATTTGTATTCCTAATCCGTCACCACACGGACCGTCCGTGTCCTTAAAATAATAATAATTAAATGATAGTAATGAGGAGTAAATTTACCTGCTTTGTATGTTCCTGTCATCGACAACTTCCCCCCACATGCACGCTTCGCCCCCGACAATGTCATCTAAGTTCACTTTAGCATGGAATGAAGGGATCATTTGCCGCGGATCTACTTTGTAGTAATCGATCCAGTCTCCACCACTTTGGAGGTGATCTAGGTACCATGATGCAGAGTAAATAAGCTTATGACCTGCCTTTAGGATCTGTGGATCATGAAAAAAAGTATAGCTAGTTATACATAGACAAATCAAACTTAAATAATAATTTGTTGAGTAGGCCTTGTTACAGATAATATTCAGATGTAAGTAGTATATAGTTTTTTTTTTTTAATGGAATATGGAGCAAACGAGCAGACGGGTCACCTGATGGGAAGCGACTACCGCCGCCCATAAACACACCTTGCGAGACACCAGCATTTACTGACCTCAAGTCGGAGCATGCACCGTCGATACCGACCTTAATCATCATCATCACCATCATCAGCCTATCGCAGTCCACTGCTGGACATAGGTCTCTTCGTTTGACGACCTTAATGCTTAATAATAAACTATAATTATTTTCTGTGGATAGTTACCCACTTGAACTAATGTATTGTAATCCTCAGATTTCCACACTTGCACAATAGCATCTCGCAGTGGGACGCCTTCATCAAACACTTCCTGAAAATACAACTTGATTACTTATTTAATAAATAAATAACCTGTGTATGTAAAATTAAGTGTCATTTTAATCAAATTAAAACTTTAGATATAATCATATATCTAAACACATTACACATTTGAAAAGTAACTAGGAAATACCATTTTTTTTATTATGGTATAGGGGGCAAACGAGCAGAGCAGCAAGTGAGCAGGGTCACCTGATGGTAAGCAACTCCAGCTGCTCATTGAAACTTGCAATTTAAAAGTCACAAGTGCGTTGCTGCCCTTGACGTCCCTCCCGCTCGAGTTATCGGTATTTGGGCTCCGGTAACCAGTTTCGTGTTAGGGATTCCACTGCATTCTAACACCAGCTTGTTAATATAAAGTAATAAAAACGACATAAAAAATGTTTGCCCTAAACTATGAACTATTTGTGTTGTGGCGGCTCCCACATACAAAGAAACAGAAACATACCACAGCGCCATCTAATGAAGACACACCGAACTACGGAGTAACTACTAAATAAGAATTGCTAATCCTGTATCGCGATATGAAGAATTCCCTCGCCGATTGGCATATATACAATATCCCAACATCAACCGTGGGGCCGCGGCCCGCCAGGCATGATCACCTCGCCTGGTCGGAGGATCCTCCCTTTGTGTTGGAGGGACATGACACCCGTTCCTCCATTCCTCCACAGTGTATTTTATCGCTACACATATTTTGTACATACGCGTCTTCACGAGCACTATTATTGCATTGGTGTCATTGCGTTACACCATATGAAGTTGCAAATTAAGAACCCAAAAATATACGAGGGGTGATCAATAAGTAATGATAATCAATATGAAACAGAAGTATTAGATTAAAAAAAGTATTTTATTTTTCAACATAGTCTCCTTGCAAGTTAATACATTTAGTGTATCTTTTTTCTAAGCCCATGATTCCCTTAGAAAAAAATTCTTTGTCTTGACCCTCCCAAAATGCCTCTACTGCGGCCATCACTTCACTATTGTCCTCAAATTTGTTGCCCCGGAGGTGTTCTTTGAGCCGAGGAAAGAGGTAGAAGTCACTGGGAGCTAGATCTGGCGAATAGGGAGGGTGTTCGAGCAGTTCGAACCCCGTTTCTTCAATGGCAGCCATCGCAACTGCGGCTTTGTGAGCCGGGGCGTTGTCTTGGTGAAACAGCACTCCAGCGCGCAGTTTACCGCGTCTTTTTGACTTAATAGCTTCTCGCAATCTTCTTATTTGGCCTGCGTAGTAAGAGCCTGTTATAGTGGCCCCCTTTTCCAAATATTCCACCATAATAATTCCTTCTGCATCCCAGAAAACAGACGCCATAACCTTTCCCGCTGAACTTGACACTTTGAATTTCTTCGGCGTTGGTGAGGAAGCTCGTTTCCAAGTCATTGATTGTTGTTTGGTTTCGGGATCAAAGTGGTGGATCCAGGTCTCGTCCATGGTCACAAAACGCGACAAAAAAATTATTTATCGGCCTGGAACTTTTGAAGATTCACCCTCGAAATGTCGACTCGTTTCTTTTTTTGCTCGTCGGTTAACATTCTCGGTACCCAACGCGCAGAGACCTTTTTCATATGCATTTTGTTGACAATGATTTTTTGAACGCTGCCATAGGAGATCCCTGTGACCTCAGCTACATGCCTTATGGTCACCCTTCGATCGGCCAACACGATATCTTCCACTTTTTTGACGTTTTCTCCAGTAAGGGACGTGGAAGGGCGTCCCTCGCGATGTTCATCTTCAGTGGAGGTTCTGCCCAGCTTAAATTCCTTTGCCCAGCGTGCGACTGTGGAATATGGAGGAGCAGACTCCCCCAATGTTTCCTCTAAGTCGCTGTGTATGTCTTTGGTAGACATTTTTTTCAGGCAGAGGTACTTGATGACAGCTCTTATTTCATTTTTCTCCATTTTGATGTTTTCTCTTCGACAGTTCGTATTCAAATGAATGTATCTCCCGGTAATGGTGTCCTATTTATACATTTTTTTGAAGCTGAAGTAGTGGATATATAAGCAAGCAGAAAAAAAATAATTTGGGTTTTTGTGCGTTCTAGAAATACTCGATTATCATTACTTATTGATCACCCCTCGTATGTTAGGTCTTTACCTATGAAGTTGGAGATTTGTAGGAAAATTTTAAAATGTAAAAGTTTTGGTTATTTTTTGTTATAGCTAATCAAATTACTGCCCCAAATTATCTATACAATTTTGCCATTTTGATGACAGTTTGTTTAACCCTATGGCGTAGAAGTCCGAAGGTCGGGAGGCACTGGTCCACCAGTCAGTCACCATCATCTTCCTATGGGAATCTATTTTTAGTGTACTGATTAGGTGCTGTGCCCGGGTCCATCCACTGAGAAGAATGCTTATGGTTGTTGCACAGGATCCACTTTTCATCGCAGGTAACAATTTGATTCAGAATCCCCTCATTTCAATGCGGATTCAGTAGTGCTATGCATGCTTCGAGTCTTGCTGTTGGTAGCTTAGTTCATCTGTCGCCTACTTATCTAGCTTTTTTATCATTCCGATTTGACGCAAGTGCTTCTAGGTAGTTTTGACGCTAACTCCAAGCAAGCTCAGCCGTAGATTGAGTTGGATCCGCTTCCACTATCGTCTTCAATTCGTCTTTGTCGATTATAGTTACCGGCCGATCGTGAGGCTCGTTCTTTAACTCAAAATTTCCAGATCTAAAATGTTTCGTGTTGTTTGCGCAGCGGTATTTCCACGTGGGAACTCATATACTAAAATTAAACGAATTTTCGCCATGGATTCGCGACATAGATTAACTATCCATGGCACCAAAAACTACTACAATTTTACAAAAACAAAACAGTTTTTAAAACAAACGACTGTATTTAATCTAAAAATAACGACCGATAATTAAATCTGAAAATATGGTTTTAAAAATCTCCTGGTAAATCTGATAAAAGAAAAAAATCTGGTAAAAGACCTATTTTTATTTTTTCATACTTTACATACTTTTTTTTTATCTAAGTCTGGGCCCCAGGTATCCTCATTCACTCGGTGAAAAGTAACGAATGAATTGCCTATCATCTGTTTTCTGTTTATCATTCTGGTCAAGCCGGCATATGTTCATTGCGAAAAAGGTGTTCTCTGACAGTCTTACGGTTTAATTTTATACGTGATAGAAAAAAATTGATATATTACTTTATATTACCTCAGTAAACGTAGCACTAGCTACGAGTATTAACGAACTAAAGCGTTGTACGTACCTGCCATACAATGGGTTTGGAGTTCTCTCCAAGCAGTGGGATTATTTTATTCATAAAGTATGCGTGTAGGTCACTAGTCTTCGTCATATTATTATCTCTCATGAACATCAATATTTCAGGGTTCGATTCCCTGGAAATTGTATATAATTATATTTAAAAAGGAAACCATGTTTCATAAAGATTATATTCTTTTAGGGTTTCGAACACCGATGTATATAAAAACTAATATTGCCTATAAAAAATCCTTGAGTGACTTCCATTGTCTGTGCCAGTGTCTGTCTGAGCCTGTGATATGGTAACCAGACTGCTTATAAACATAATTATATATTTCTAAGTACATACATATTTTAGATTAATAACACCTAGATACAGAACAAATTGAACTCATTACATAATATTTGTTTGACCTGGCTTTGCAGTCAAAATAAGCTCCAAGACTTACCAACACGACAATTCGACTTCATCCCCACCAACGTGGAAGTACTTCTCAGGGAAAAGCTGTTGTATTTCTTGGAACAGTTCGCCAATGAGTTTGTAGGTTATATTCTTACTTGGGTCCATTGGGCCCAGTCCGATCAGTTCGTCCAACTGATAGCATTTTGTCAAGATTTTCGGATACGCAACTCCCCAGGATCTAGTATGACCTGGAACAGGGTTTTTCACATCATCACATCAACAGCCTTGAATAATCCACTGCTGGATATAGGCCTCTCCTTAGAAATGAGGTTTTGGCCTACTATACCACGCTGGCCAGACGGGTTGGTATAGGGTTTGTGTCAAGTTTTCCTTCTCTTTGCCGCTGTTGTCCTGCGTAGTTTGTCCCCTTAGTCGGCTTTTACGACACCCAGGGATAAATAGGGGTGGTGACACTCCGTATTCTTAATCACCACACGGACTCGGAAAGGGTTTTTATTAAGACAATTCAAGGTAACGCAAATGTAGATAACAGATATTGTATGTGGTTATTGTAAGTAAAAAAATATAATATATATTATAAAAATATGTATATATTATATATTTTTGCCTTCGCCGGAATGTACATATTCTTTCTATTCTATACAGTACTCTGTTCCTCCCACATACTCCATCTTATCTCAAAGAACGTTTTGAGTTTTTACATAATTCACATTGCAGGTCCCTGAGATCGTCAGAGAACCTGAAGTTAAAAATGAAATATAATATTTATTTTAATAATAATACAAATTATTTCAAATTCAAGGTACCTAGTATTCACATGTATTCACGGTTGACCTTGCATTATAGTACGTATGGCTGAGCACTGCGCTCTCACCGCCCTCTATCGCAAAAACGGTTCGGCGGATTAAACATGTTTTCAATAAAATTAGTCACAAACTGAATAACTTACGACGCAGACACGAGATTAAATGAGACTTATGAGGCAACTTTTAGAACGCCAAAATTAAGGTAGATATAAAAATTAAGCGTATCTGTCATTATGAGGTTGACCTCTTTTTTATGCTAAAGTGTCTACTGTATTGCAGTCCACTGCTGAATGAAGGCCTCCCCTAAGGAGCGATTTTAATTTTTCTTAATGTGTAACAATGTTTCTTTTAGTATTTATATGTTTCACTAGCGACCCGCTCCTGCTTCGCATGGGTAGTAGAGCATATTATGCCTACATGCTTTTCTGTCGTAGGGTCGAATCAGTGTGTTGCGTGGTCATCGCGGTGTGAGACCCGCGTTTGAATTCATATTCACTGAAATCTCCGAAGCGACTCCACCTTTTAATATTTTTAACGATTTAGCTATATGTAACTAATTTCCATAAAACTTTAATCTATACTAATATTATAAAGCTGAAGAGTTTGTTTGTTTGTTTGAACGCGCTAATCTCAGGAACTACTGGTCCGATTTGAAAAATTCTTTCAGTGTTAGATAGCCCATTTATCGAGGAAGGCTATAGGCTATATATCATCACGCTTAGACCAATAGCAGCGGAGCACCAATGAAGAATGTGTCAGAAACGGAGAAAATTTATTACTATTGAGAGACGCAGACGAAGTTGCGCGGGTCAGCTAGTAATTTAAATGTCTGAATCTTCCTGAGGAATCGCTCGTGTCTATTAGTGAAAACTGCATTTAGTATTTTTTAAAGTTTATCAAAATACGTTTATGGCGAACAGGCAGAGATTGTTTAATTTATGTTGAAAGGACTTAAGTTGTGGACCGAGTTGCCTGACCTGTATTTATAATCTGATATAGTCGATGACTTATGTAGGTTTATTTCACGCTCAAAGCAAATATTTATATGCATGATTATGTCTATTTGTATTGGTTTCCGTTTCTACGTATAATAAGTATAACAATCTGTGTATTTAAAAAAAACAGTATTGAAGTACCTATGTTTAAATTTATTCTAGAACACTTAACGTACTGTAGTTGTACTGGTTGTATCTCGTAAATAAAACTTGTAATTTTTGTTCAACATTAGTTATATACATTCAAGACAGAAGTAGGTAGGTTAATAAACTATAATATGTTAGTTTATCATTTCGTAAACATCATACACAATGTCTTACTTAAGTATATATCTGAATGAAGGTCGACCTTTGTCTCAATAGCTCATCGTCACATAAACAGATTGATTACTTTATCTCTTTATTTGTGGAGAAATTGTTTCTAAACGTATCGTCGCAATATTCTCCGGGAATTCATAGAGATAAGTGTGTTTTCAAAGATTTTTAGTACATAATGTGCTTCAACTATTCATTACATGAGAGCTTTGTACAACAAGAATCACGCGTCTATGAAACTATCGTAGCCAAGTCATAAGGCCGTTTTTGCTAATTATTTGCTATTTTTTTTCCAGAGAATTGTTTTCTCTGCCATAGCCATTTCCGAAAAACTATGACCCTGCTGACCTGAGACTTAAGACAACGTAGCCATAGCTATATCTTCGGATTTTTTTTACCTATCAAAACAGTCTTTGTGGCCTATTTTTAATATGAATATGACCTGGCTACGCTAGCTTAATAGACACAAGAATCAAGGCTATTTTTAACACGCTTTATTAGCTTGGTATGTATGTAACGGAATCTACGAACGTGATTTGTACCCACTTTAAAACGTCGAATTAAATTGAAACTTCGCATACCTATCAAGGACCGATGACAATACAATTATTTGATCAATTTGGTCGATTATCCTGATCAGGATCTTGAGGATTACCGCCTTTCCCCCACCTAAAAATATGGTAGTGTCCTTCGCTACGTACTAAGAGGTGTGTGCTCAATAATATGTGACTCACTTGTCTTTTTTCTAGTCTTAGTGAGAAAATAATTATCATTAATGACAAAAAATAGCAAAAAAAAATATTGTTGATAAAACTAAAAAAACACGGCTTTGTAACTAGCTGAACTAAAAACTTGAAAATAATTTTCTATAAGTAAGTTCAAAAAGAAAAATAATTTTATCGTAAAAAAGCGTGGGGTGCTTTTCAAGATATTTTATAATATAACTAGCTGACCCTGCAAACGTTGTTTTGCCATATACAGTATTTAATTTTTTTTTGTCAAAAAAAAGAATCTAATATATAAAATTTTCGTGTTACGGTGTTAGAAGGTGATCTTCTCCGAAACGGCTCTACCGATTTTCGTGAAATTTTGTGGGCATATCGGGTAGGTCTGAAAATCGGCCAACATCTATTTTTCATACCCCAATTTTTTTTTGACAAATAAAATTGAAATAATGTATATGGCAAGACAACGTTTGCAGGGTCAGCTAGTTTTATATATTAGAAGATAACTTCACTTTTACCAATATCTGAATTTTTTTTTTATTTAATTTAAATTTTTCCGAAAAAAAAAAGTTTTTTTTTACAATTGAGATCTATCACCCCACGCATCTTCTTTCTAAGGAGAGGCCTATGTCGAGCAGCTGACTATTGAAGGCAGTTTATCTGATTGATGTGACCCCACGCATTCTTCTTGTAAAATTATTTTATACTTTTAGTTAGGCTAGTTAGGAAAGCGTTTTTTTTTGTTTTTTGTTAAACTATAATTATTAAGAAAAAAATACATTTTATTGAATAAAATGATCGTGCGTTTCGTTTCAAAACCATTGCAACCTGAAAAGATGGGTGCTAATAACGTTTAATTGTTTATAATCATATTAAGAATATTTTACCTGGTACGTCGAACTCGGGTAACACACGAATGCCCCTGTCCCTGGCATAGTTCACAATGTGGTTGATGTTGTTTTTTGTGTAAATCATAGACGGTGTGTATGCGCCCTGAGCACTGAAAATAAGGTTTTAATATACAATCATAAAATCGGATAGATTTTCCTTTTTATGTTTGTTACCTCAGAACACCGTTAATTATGAATTGTAAGGGAATACTACCCATTTAGTCCATTATAAATTTAAAGAAAAAATACCACCCCTAAGGTTAAAATTTAAGGAATGAAGAAAAAAGGTTTATTACATTTCATTCACATGCTTTTTTTTTATTTTGATAAACATAGTGTATTTCATCATCATCAACAGCCTTTGATAGTCCACTGCTGGACATAGGCTTCTCCTTAGAAAGGAGGTTTTGGCTTACTATACCATGCTGGCCAGACGGATTGGTATAGGGTTTGTTTAAAGTTTTCCTTCTCTTAGCAGTGCTGTTGTCCTGCGTAATTTGCTCCCTTAGTCGGCACTTACGACACCCTCGGGATAAATAGGGGTGGTGACACACTGTATTCTTAACCCGTCACCACACGGTATTTATTAAACAATTATCTACTTGTAAAGAGCAGATTGAAAACAACCAATCAATGAAAGTAATAGTGTGTGTTTAGTACATTTTAATGAGTTCTACTTGTTTGAAAAGGTCGTTTACAAAGCAATTTAATTTTACCCACATAGTGTGTTGTAACTAGCGTTTTATGAGGCCGGTAAAAATCGCATGCCGTCTCGGGTACCAGTAGGCGGGGAACCAGATGTACCCTAGAAAGGAAATCCCTGGTACCCCGTACATCGACCCGGTCCTGGTGGGCCGGGAGAGTTCTAATTCCCCTCTCCTCCGAGGTAAGATCTGTGCCCTGTGCCTAGGTACCGCTGGTACCCCTCTTATATTCCGTTCAGCAGTTCTAACACGATTAAGTAACAAACATTTATTCCAACTTACACATTTATATTTAAATACCGGTGGGCGGCGACGATACCGGTACCGATAAGATTAATTTTAATTCAATGAGGTACTTGAAGGTCTACCACAAGAATTATATCAGAAAGGGTAACGACAAACCACCCTGTGTCGTTACCCTTGCCCTGTGTGTGCATGATAGGAGTTCTAGCATGTATTTTGACCTGTTATAGTACAAAATTCTATACAATGACAGCTTAAGTCGTAATGATCAAACAAAAGTTTAAATACGGTTGAAATTCGACCACCAGGCGATGTGTAGGAGGTTATTAAAAGAAAATACTAGGTAGAGGTCCAATAGTACCTTAATTGAGGGAACTTCTCGCTCTGGTAAGGAAAGCTCTGGTCATCCACTATATGCCAATGTAAGACATTCATTTTGTTCATTTCCATAGCATCCAAGGTCTTCAGAATGTTAGACACGGAGATGTAATGGCGTGATGTGTCTATGAGCAGTCCCCTGTGGGGGTATCTCGGATAGTCGACGATGTCTGTGCCGTTGATGAATACCGCCTGAAAATTATATATGTATTAAGACTTTTATGCCAATCAAGTATGTGTATATTTTTAAACCTGGGTCGAGTCACAAGCCACCCTTTGACCTCCCCCACCTCTAGAAGCAAGGGGAAGGGGTTCGGCTTTTGGCACGAGCATTTCTACTCGCTTCTCACAAACCAAGGAGACAGCAAGTGTATCGTAAACTTAGCTGGCATTGATAAAACCGATAACGGATCAATATACAGTACCTTATAGTCATCGGATAAGTACAGAAGTTGGACAAATGTCTCCATTCCTCTCAAAGCTCCCCATATGGAGTCGCTGCTAAGAGTCGACACCGCAGAAATGTTCAGGTTATCTGGAATTATAAATTAGTGTCTATAAATCTAAATATATGTATATCAGGGATTACTCATTAGAGAGGGTTTTAATCATCATCATCTCAGCAAATAGACGTCCACTGCTGGACATAGGCCATCCCCAAGGTTCGCTGTTTTTTGGTACGCAGTCGCCACTCGAGAACTTTTGGCCCCATCGGCCATCGTTTCTGTGAGCAATGTGTCCCGCCCCCACCACTTAAGTTTGGCGAATCTCCGAGCAATTTCTGTGACCTTGGTTTATTTTGTGTATCTCCTCATTCCTGGTTTTTATCTCCAATCATATGACTGATATGTGTGTACTCGAGCGTGGCCTTCTCAAGGTACTGCACTGTCTGTTGAGTGGCCCATCTGGGACTTGGAATATTCCTTACTTGAAAATAAACCAGCTAAAACCACTGACATTGCATCTACTTATCGATTATTAGTGCTATGTACCTAACACAGTAAAGTACTTATTTTATTGTGAGAGAAAACATGTCTGTATTAGTAAGGAAAAAAAGAAGCCCTGTTCATATATGATTTTTAATATAATTATTATTTAATAGAAAAGAAGTGCTTGTGTTAGAAACAGGTTAGAAGAGGTAATTCACGCAGATGGAAGGAAATGACACTTCAGCCATAAGCTTCATTTGCGGACTCCCGTCAAAGTTGTTGATTAGTCATATTATTTTCTGTTTTAATAACTTACATACTTCATCCATGTCCATCTGCGGATGCTCTTCACATGGTGAGCGTATTTTAATCTGCAGTTCTTTAATAGAACCCTGAAAGTTAACATCTGTAACGTTGGTATGTTTAGGAGTATGTTTCAAGTGCTTTTTTATATGGTTCCAGGCGATGCGGTGTAGGCCTCTGATGACATTGTAATATCGATTTATTGCCGATTTCAGTATGTGACATGTCTCGCCCGACACCTGTTAACAGAAGATTAGTTATTTTGCTAGTCCTGTTGTAATTTTTTTTTTTATTATTATTATTAAATTTTACATTTAGGCCAACTGTTAGGTTTGAGAGGGAACGGAGGGCTCTGTCGGTGCGGGCGAACATAATAGCTTGTAGGTTTGTACACTGTACCAAGAGGTAAAAGGTACCCTGTTTAAAGCTAATTGTACAACTTTTTACACATGCATCTTGTGGGAGCATTATTCGTTGGTGTAATATGGGGTGTAATAGGAGACTGATGGGGCTGCCCTGGCGATGAAGTGCCTCGGGAATGTTTGCAGAGGTATGAGTTGACTGCTTTTACTCCACGATACGCAAACGATCAGCATTATTCTTGTCACGGGTAAGAGGCAGCTCCAACAAGGTCCATATTAGACATGGGACAAAATAACAGTTAACTGTGATTTATCATTCGATTTCTGCGTACGTAGTTTAGGGTTGCTAGGTAGGTAGGTTAAATCTAGTATTTTTTAAATTATTATATACGGAATGGTAGCTATATAATTACTAGTTAAATAGTCGAAATAGGGTCTTTATGCATCGTCTGAACAGCTTATATTTTGTTTTTTTTTTGTTTTTTTTCAAAAACTTTAATCACACTTTATTTACATTTGTTTACAAGTTCTCGATTCGCCAAACTGTTCTAACAGTTTGTAGGCGTTCCGCTCAATTTATAATAACCTAAGTACTTAAATGCTAGTTTTTAAATTCCTCCTACAACGGTATACTAACTCAACAAACAAAATAATTTCAAGACAAACAATACATAAATATGAGTAACCTGACTATTTCCTGGGTATCTGCTTCCCTATTTATGTACGCGTTTTAATCTATTGCCATATCCAAACATTTCTTTTAGTCTTAGTTTTAGTTTAAACTTACATTTTATTTTATTTTTTATTTTGAAAAGAAAGGGTAAACAAACTCATGGCCACTCTTTCGCAATTTACAGATAGATACAATAGCATTTTAAATATACCACAACATTGTTTTGCTGTGTGCCAGTGTGTCCGTTATTGTACTCATATGTAACACACGTGAGTAAGTAACAACCCTAACCTACGTACGAAAAAATCAAATGATAAATCACCATTAAGGTCAATATGTTTGATTTTATAATAAAATACCAAATAATATTCAAGACTTAAATTTTAACAAATTAAAATCCGCAATAAAACGTAAATTATGTCAGAAAGCCTATCAATTGCGGATTTTAGAGAAGACATAATGCTTGGGATTAATTTAAAAGATTAATTTAGCGAAGGCTATTTCTTAAGTACAAATGTGATGTGGGCTAGTGTGTATTTTATTATTATTTGATTCTATTTTTTATGTTTCACTTCACTTTCTCTTGTATTCGATCTTTTTTCTTAATCTTGTTTTCTCTTCATTGTTTTTTACCTTTTAGTCCTTATTAACGGACACACTGGCACACAGCAAAACAATGTTGTGGTATATTTAAGATGCTATTGTATCTATCTGTAAATTGCAAAAGAGGGGCCATGAGTTTGTTTGCCCTTTCTTCTCATAAGGTTTAACTGCTTGGAAACTTGGTTGTAGATCGGCACAGGCATATCATAGAGTTTGTAAAGTATACTTTTTTGACAATTTATTATATTTGACAAAACAGAGATTGTTGCTATTGTGTGTGTTGATCTATGACTTACTCAACAAACAATTTTAAAATTTTAAAATATTTTCAGTTTGAGTTTCAATGCAATTCATAAAAAAATACCCACACAATTTTGTCACGATACCGGTATGAGAGGGATAGGACATAATATTTACCTAATAAAACCTAAAAAATATGTTTTTTTCTTTATCTATAGTATGCTATATGACATCATTCTAAAGCCATCAATAAAGTAATTTTTATGTCATATCTATGTAAAAATTCTATGATCTGTCTATGACGTCATATGGAGGTCATGTGTTCACTAGGTAATGAAGTTGGGTCGGGTCTCTTAGTGGTGTAGTGCTAAGAATACGTACATAGTTTGCTACACACCAGCATTCACAGTAAAACTAAGTTTAGTGTATACGTATATGTACTTATATACATAATATAATACGTGTTTCTATATTTAGATAAAAGTAGTGATCACTATTGTTTTTACAAATAATTTTCTATTTACGCCGGATTTGATAAAATGTTGTCTTATTTATATAATCAACAGTCCATAATAGTCGTATGGGGTAGACGACCCCTCCTGTGTGGGAACCCCCATGTTCCCTCTGTGCTCCCGGAAGGGCGCGCGCGCTTCGCAACGCGCTCGCCGCCACCCCGGCCTGCGTCTGCTAGGGTGACAGATGGCTTCACCTGTCACCCCCAGGCCTGCGCTTATGGAGGACGGAGGTTGTTCTGCGACCTTAGGCGCCCGAGTCGTCTGCGGTACCTGGCCCGTCCCGAGCCTGGCGGGCCGGGAGAGTTCTGAATCTCTCCCGGTCCGCCAGACTCTCGCTCCGCTCGATAACCGCAATCAGGTCATCGAGCGAAAAAACTCCCAAGCCGATGGCCGCCACGAGGTCTCGCCTCTGCTCCACCCACGCCGGGCATTCTGCCAGCGTGTGGAACACCGTGTCCACGGTCCGACCATCGCAGTGGTGGCACACAGGCTTTCGCTCCTTGCGGATCAGACACAGGTGGTCCCCGAAACATCCTTTCCCAGTGATCACCTGCGTCAGTCGGTATGAGAGGGTCCCGTGATGCCTCTCAAGCCAAACCTCCATAACGGGACTTACCGCCGCGATGACGGCGTGCCCGGCTCTTACGACACCCACGGGGCCTATAGGGATGGTGACAGTCCGTATTCTTAATCCGTCACTACACGGACGAATGGATTATTCATATATTTTATGTAAAATTTAAAGTTCTGTGAATGTTGCCTGCCTAAAAAAGGAAAGGACTTTCGTTAAATGATTACTTGTTGATTATAACTCTAAAATAAAATATAAAGAGCTTTGTCTACATGTCTACATACTTCTCTAGAGTAAAAATAATTTTAAATCGTTGATGAAGCTGATGTTGGAACGAAGTTCCTTGTCGCGCGTTACTCGCTCTGAGTGGATGGGAGCGAGACCGAAAAATGTGTAACAAGACCTTTTTTCCGACACTATAGCAAACGTCTATAAAAAAGTTAAAGAAACTTCGTTCCAACCGGGGGTCCATAGACTCCTCACGCCGTTTTTTTATTTTATTGAATAGGAATAACAAACAGCTACAACATACAGTTTACAAAATAATCTAAACAATATAGCACTTATGCTATATTGTAGCCCACAACGTTATTCACAAATCAGCAAAGATAAGTATTTATTTAATTCAGTCAAAAAAGTATCGGGTATGGATGATTTATTTGTGGTTCCAAATTCAAATTATTGTTTTTTTTTGTTGTTGTTAGATTGGCACAACTGTTTTCCATTTTGGCGCGGAGTGCGAGTTGTATCTGTTATTTATATTAAATACAGTGTTATTTTTAGTTATATCATACCTAGTGTATTGCGGATTTCATAATGGACAAAAACATCGAACAAAGAGTTTGTCTTAAATTTTGCATCGCCAATGGAATTTCGTGTTCGGAGTCACTGAAAATGTTACTGAAGGCTTACGGTGATTCGACTTTACCAAAAACACGTGCTTATGAGTGGTACAAAGCGTTCAAATGCGGTCGAGATGTGTGGAAGATTTGCCTCGCTCTGGTAGTCTGCAACTGAAGTTAACATCGCAAAAGTGAAGGAAATAGTGACTGAAAATCCTCCTTCAACTTTGAGAGAGATAGCCGCCGAACTTTGTGTATCTGTGTTTCTGTATCTGTACGAGTCGATCCGTACCATTTTAACAAATCATTAGGGTATGAAACATGGTACCGCTCGGCTAGTCCCAAAATACCTAAATTTTCTCCAAAAACCCAAGCGCATGAGAGTCGCTGAGGACATGCTAGAACGAGTCAATTCCGAACCAACATTCATGAAACGCACTGTTACTGATAACGAGACATGCGTTTACGAGTTTGACATGCAAACTAGTCAACAAGCTTCGGAGTGGCACCTTCCAACTGAACCGAAACCGAAAAAACCACGCCAAAGTCGATCAAAAGTCAAAGTCATGTTGACTGTTTTCTTTGACTATCGCGGTGTTGTGCACTCGGAATTCTTGCCGGAAGGTCAAACAGTAAATAAAGAATATTATTTGAGCGTTCTCCTCCTTTCTAAGAAGAGGCCTATGTCTAGCAGTGGACTGTTAAAGGCTATTGATGATGATGATGATTTGAGCGTTATGCGGCATTTAAGAGAGCAAATTCAACAAAAAAGGCAAGATTTGAGGAAAGAAAATTCTTGGATTTTGCACCACGATAATGCGCCTTCGCCCGGGGCCATCATTGTGAACGAATTTTTGACCAAACACTCAACAAATACCACCGAGCAACCACCATATTCACCAAATATGGCTCCAGCCGACTTCTTTCTTTTTCCTACACTTAAATTACCACTTCGTGGCACCCGTTTTCAATCGGTAGAAGACATAAAGGAGAATTCGCGGCAGGAACTGATTTGTGTATTATTGATCTTTTCCCGGTACTTTCTTGACAGAGTAGTACATAAATAAATAAAATGTCAAAAAAAATGTTTTTGATTTACGCTCTTTGTAAAGAGTAACAAAAAGGATGAACCATATTTGGCGAATATGACATGTGTGCTGTGATTCATAACATTACGTTGTAAAAAAAACATTGACTATAGTAAAACATTAGGGAAATTGGGCTTTGTAGGACCTAGACTTAGGAATTTATTGAGAACATAAATATATCTGAATTGATTTTATTTGTCATGACTTCAATAAATCAATTTAATTACTTTCATTTATATTATTTTTGACATAAAACTGATAAACAATGATTTAACTTTTTGACTTTGACTTGCATTGCAAAATCAAGTAATTAGAAAAACAAACCCAAGATACTAGACGTTTCCAATATATTTAATAACTTGTCATTGTACGAAAGTCGACCATGACAGTTTAAGTTAGACTAGACAATGAAAAAAAAAAACAAAACAAAAAACACCACAATTACATCTTTAGTTTTTATTAAAATACGAGTATCTGCAGTTACATTAGAGGAAAGAATTAAAATATTTGTTTTTCTTTTTCAAAACAAATAAAATAATGAAATGGTTTTTTTTTATTTGTACGTTTAAAATACATAACTTATCAATCTTAGGTAGAATGTGATTTTTTTTCTAATTCCAATATTATATTTTATGAAACATTAATGAAGTCGTGGCTACGTAAGTCCAAAATTTAATTTGTTTCCTATCTTTTCTGAGGTCTACTTTTAAACTGTTTTTTTATTTATTATTATTTTTAAATAAACTTATTTACTTAAACTTATAAACTTAAATACACTTCATTGTCTACATATCATTTTGTGAAGACGTGTTATAAGAACGTTCAGTGTCGTGTCGTACAAGATAAAATAACTATAGGTATAAATTAAATGAATTGGTAAATTAAACCTCCTCTACCCCTATAAAAAACACTCATCTACCTCTAGAAAAATATCTACACTTCCACACAATGCCCATAATGCATTAAAAAACTAGACACTGTTTTATTCCCAAAATTTTCTCTAAAGATGAGAAAAACGCTACGTCTATTAAATTGCTGTGATAAGTTGAGCTATAGAAGAATAATAATCGTTTGCGTAATTGGTGTTTAATTAAGATTGTACAAACATCATTAATGATCGTTAAATAAACGCGAGAACGAGTTGTTAGCAAATTGATAAAATTGACCCAAAATCAATATTTCTAACAATTGTATGCTTTGATGGATTGCAACGAGGCATAGATTATAAAATAATATAAAAATCGTATGTAAATATTTTTCTTTAGAACTCACCGTAAAATTAAAAGCCAAGGGGCGTAATTTATAATAAGTATCACGTTTTATTTGTTGTTGCGGTTTTGGCCACACTTCCCCTTTCGTCGGTGGATATTTCGGACCAGGTTCAACAATAATAATACTGGCCACTAAAATAACGCTTAAGGCGTTAAAAATAATAACGTGCCTCAACATTGCGGCAAACCAGTAAATTAATGTACTATTCGATTGACAGCCCGCTGTAAACTGTTGTTTATAATGGTCATTTGTCAATATATACGGCCATAGATTGATAAGGCTCGTAACAAAATAAGGAAAAACATAACAAAATTTAACCGGTGGTAGAAATTCTAAATGATAATGTATATTTGCTAATATATAATTTAATATTAATTGCAAGAGAAGCTATTGCAAGAACAAAATTATTGGAGCAGCAAAGTTGTTGGGAATTGGGACTTAAATGCTGTACCTGTCTCTACTTATAAGATATCTTCAAATTTCTATACAGGCTCTGTTAAGTTCCCGCAAGATTGCGTCCAAGGTTATAGATCTATATATGCTTACGAGTCGCGATAGCTTCGAAACATTTTTTACAATTTTGTTTTATTTTATAATTTTCGTAATTTATTTATTTGCTGATCAAATGTGTACAACGGTGTTACATTTTTATTTATACATGTCCTCTTTGGTCTACCTTGAAATATTTGGTTAAACTTATTGTCAGAATAAAGGTCGGATTGATCTTCATTAGAGCCAATTACGCTTTGAATTGGATTTTAATTACTTTAAATTCTAATAAGACGTGATATGCTTTGCTTTTAAATAAATAAGTTTATTCGTATTCTGAGCCATTTAGTTTTTTTGTACACGATTGTGTACCTATATGTATTCATTTATACGTAATGTGCGGAACATAATGCTACAAATGGCATAAAAGTATAAAAATTGTCCAAGAAGTATGTCACGATATGATTCTTTTAACAAATATCTCCTATTCGTGTCTTTTCACCTGTTTTTGTCGTCTTTATCCTAGTTAGTTGGTTGTCTGTTTATTCATCTCAGAATATTCCTTATAAAAATATGTTGGTGTACATAGTTGTAGTAATTTTCTTTAAATTAGTAAAAGCTTTGAATCATTATAAAGCATATTTAATATGCATGTAGCAGGTAGGACTCCATAAGGATTGTATCCGATTATTTATGAGACTGATGACCACTGCCAATCGAGCAATCTATGAACTTTTTTGCCACCATAGTTGTAAAAAAAGAGAAAGATTTTTCATACAATTATTTTCGATTTTAACATAGTGTATGCGTTATTGTACCGCTATCATATTGATTTCAGTTTATTCACCTTGTTAAACATAGACAACAACAAATTCATTACTATAACATATAATGTTGTGACTATTTGTAATTTTACTTAAGTCCGATATTAAAAACCGGTGTTACCGTTACTGCAGCAACTAGAGGATCGAACCATTTCACTATATCAGTGTTACAAGACAAAAATAAAATAGGCTTATCTGTGCGTCTCTGATATTGACGTTTCATTTTGGGGGCGGGTATCGTATCGTCACTGTTACAGCGAATTTTCTCTAAAAGATGAGATAATTCAGCCTTTTCCAGTTCTTTGGAGTGTGATTATTTATTTTATTTATCTAATGGTTTTACTCCTAGTACTACAAGTAAGTTTTTATTTTTAAATGATGCTTACCTTTGACGATAATTGCATACAAATTGGGTGTTACATTAATCGTATCCTGTCCTATTGATTCGTAATCAGCCCACTGGAACTCTTTCTCCTAATTCTATCTTTATCTCACGGGAGAAATTATTTCTTTCCAAACTGTAATGGACATTTGTGGGTAGATAAAACAACTCTTGCATCTCACAAAACTAATCAAATACTGACAAGGTCTCACACAACGTATGTAATTTAGTTTATGTTACTGTCCTAGGCTTAAATCAAGATGATTGGGGGCCTGTTCGTGTACAATCACAAGGGCGAAGTCCTAATCTCGCGGGTGTACCGCGATGACATAGGCCGGAATGCCGTAGACGCCTTCCGAGTAAACGTGATCCATGCAAGACAGCAAGTGCGTTCGCCGGTGACTAACATCGCGAGGACTTCATTTTTCCATATCAAGGTAACTTTTTAAAATTACAAACTCATAAGATTTTTTTTCCAAGTTGGTATGCTATGATATTTATGGTCTTCTTGGTGGTCTTATTGGTATATTACAACAGCAGCACTAGCTAAATGTAGAAGAATTAACATCTATTGTAGATCATTAATATGCCATTATTCAAACTCAAACTCTCTTTATTTCATAAAATTTTCAAAATTGTTTGAAATCCTCTTTATCAGTAGTGTACTTGGATTTTATTGACTAAATGTTATCTCACCCAAAATGTTTGAACAATCTGACTAAATTAATGTTTCAAACTTTTCTCATTAATGATTATAAAAATTAGCTAGCCTTATGGTATTTGTCTATGATGTGCGGCATTGCTAGGCTTGTATCAAATATGGTTAGGTAGAGGGGGTAACACAGTAGACAGTGGAGGTCGTCGCAAGGAGTACTCCCTAAACCTAATCCGAGGTTGCAAGTCCCAGGCGCTGTTGAAATCACATGTGTGGACCCCATCTATCATGCGATGGACCCGGCACCCGCACAGTGTATCCATAGAACGCTAAGAAAGGTCTCTATAATAATAATATAATATAAGAATAATTGATTGCTAGAAAGTAAGAATGATTTTACTAATCAATAATATTCTTTTAACTGACGCCTAACCTGACCTAAAAAATAATACTTACTAGCGTACACCTTCCTCTTAGCCCAGCAATGCGCTTGTGACTCCTGAACCCTGTGTTTAGTTGCTTTTCATTGAGTGACTGCAGAGCCCAAACACCGTCTGATCCTAAACTAGGCAGAGCCTGTGCTATGGTAACCAGATGGCTGATAAACATATTTATTTCTAAATACATATTATAGATAAAGTACACTTAGTCACAGAACAAATAATCGTGCTCATCACACAATTATTTGTCCTGGGTGGGAATCGAACCCACAACCTCTGGCGTAGCAGTCAGGGTCACTAGCCACTAGATCAACAGGCCAGTCTTTTCAAACTTTCTTTTTAACAATTCCAGAAGAGGTCACACACTTGTGACTTAAGTTGCTATTGTCCACTGGCAGCGGTAGTTACCAACCATGAGGTCACCCGTCTGCTCGTTTTCCCACTTTATACTATAAAAAATTAACTATTACACCATCCCTGATTAACACCATATAATGTCCAACAGAGAGCAAATATATGGCTGGCAGCTGTTACCAAGCAGAATGTGAACGCTGCAATGGTATTTGAGTTCCTGCTCAAGATCATAGATGTGATGCAGTCATACTTCGGCAAGATCTCTGAAGAGAACATCAAGAACAACTTTGTTCTTATCTATGAGTTGCTTGACGGTAAGTCGGTAAATTGCATTCTTTTAGGCTCTCATTTCATAATTATGAGAACAAGCCACATTCTTTTTTTTTTTTCTTTTATAAAAGAATACTACCGCATTAGGAATATATCTCGTGTCACGGGGGACTTTACAAACATACATGAAACGGACACAAAGTACAGAACAACAATTTGTGGATCACACAGTGTTGTAACCCACAACACTCGGCGTAGTTGTAAGTGGCGTGGCAACCGCTTAAACCACTACGCCATCCCTGCAGTTGTTTTGTCGATTTGCCTTCTGTTAGTTGCTGACACATTAGTTTGCGAACCTGATGTGGCTGGATCTTAAAATGAGTAATCTTAAAAAATATGTTTTTTAGTATGGTGTCACTTCCTGGTGCATATTATTGTCAAATCTATCTGACATAGTGGTTTAAGCGGTAACACTATGTGGGATCCACAAATTGTTGTTCTGAGTCTGGGTGTTCTTTGTGACAGTTTCATGTAGTCCCCTGTGTCATAGGACATATTCCTAGTGCAGGAGTTGTCTTTGTACAATTTATTATTCAGTACTTCAAAGAAAAGCTAAAAACAATACATACAAATTATTTTTGATTATCTAATACTAAAAACTAACAACTTAGCTCACCTTGATTTTATGTATTGAAAATAAATAGATTTTCTGATATGTGTTTTTCAGAGATACTAACCAGTTTTGAATGGTTTCTCTTTTTTGATCAGTAGTCAATAATGTAATATTTATGGACACTGACACTGACACACAACGCCATCTAGTTTCAAACTAAGCAGAGCTTGTACTATGACAGTTAGATTGACTGATAGAATACTATATACTTTTTTTTGTAAATACATACAAATATTTGTAGTTTGCGCAAACATTTGCAACTATCACTCACTATGCCCATTCTAATATAACCTTGTCATCTCCATTTAAGAAACCTGTAGGTTTAATGGTAAATAATTTGGAAGTTAATTTCCAAAAGTATTTTTTAATTTAACAGGTATATATTGAATAAAAATACGAATAGAAGGTAGCTTACAATATCTTTTTTTAAATTACAGAGATCCTGGACTTTGGCTACCCACAGAACTCGGACACTGGTGTGCTGAAGACATTTATCACTCAGCAAGGTATCAAGTCCGCCTCCAAAGAGGAACAAGCTCAAATAACCTCACAAGTAAGTTCTTCAGAAATTTTTATTTAGAAATGTGAGGAGTTTTTAGATTTTTTTATTTCAATTGCGACATCATAATCAAAATGTAATCCATTATTGCTTTCTCTAATATCTCATTACTATCTTATCTCATCAGATTAATAAATCCCAGTTTTATTTATTACATTTTGTGCCAAATCATAGGATCTATCTGTACATATTGGTATACCAACTTCATAACATGACCTATTCTGACTGCCTCTAAGTAGAATTTTGAATGATTGAAAATTATCTAATTAGATTAAATGAAATAAATGACATTGGTTTTTGATTTGATATACAACCTTAATTGGCATTTGTAGTATTCATAGTTTTTTCTTATTACTGTTTAATTTCCATGCTGAAATAATATAAAATTCCTAATGACGCTTTTGTTTTAAGACTAGAACAGAGAATACCTAGTTTAACTAATTGAGTGTATAACATTATACATAGGTATATAACTATTGAACTGAACTGATAAGTAAATACTGTTCTTTTCCAGGTCACCGGCCAGATCGGATGGCGTCGCGAAGGTATTAAGTACCGACGCAATGAACTGTTCCTAGACGTGCTTGAGTATGTCAACCTGCTCATGTCGCCGCAAGGTAATTCAGTTCTGAGCAATTCTCATTCAAGAGTTACTCCATAGTTTGGTCTGTGTGTACTAGATGGCGCTGTAGTATGTTTCTGTTTATTTGTGTGCGGGACTCGCCACAAGTTCTGTATATAAAACTACTGATAGAGAACCATTACTAAATTAAAAGTCTAGGTTTGTTTCTTTAACTATTTTTAAAGAATTTTACTGTAAGTCTTCTAAACATATTCAATTACTTGCCCTGAGTGACTGATTAATCAACACCCCAACAACACTGGAAACGCCGGTAGGGTAATGGGCCGAGATAATTTGCGCCCGTACAAATAAAAGTGTAGTTAAGTGGGGTTTGAATCCTTAGCTTATTTTTACTGTGAGTCAATATCTTTACCATTACAATCATACCGTTGTACTTTGCGAAATACTGACTAATTCTTTCTATGCCTTTTATCTGTTTGGGTATTGGCTTGTAAAATACATAACCCATGCATTTGCAAATGAAAGTTCTGGGTAAATTTAGCAATTTTACAAATATTTTATCATGTTAAGCAGAACTTATTTAATCCACAAACTATCGAAAATTCTGACACACACTTATACATATTTGTGATCGTGATGAAAAAAGGATGTCTAATCATTAACAAATGTTATGAAACTGCCAACATTTTTGTTAGTTTAACATCAATATTTAACTTTGAGATTATAAAATTAATAGTCTTTATATAATAGTATAAAATAAATATTTATTTGATATTTGATTTTATTAATATTTACATACTTTGTTATAAGTCTTTGGGATTGAATAAAATCACAATCACCTGTGATAAAATCATGTAATTTGTAAATAATATAATTACACCTGTGACTAATTAACAAAGCCCTTATCTTTAATAATAAAAAAATGATTTAAATATAGCGATTCCCGGGTCGGACCAAATGCTTGTATGATATACAAATATTTGTTTCGGAGTTAAGGTGTTTTCTATGTATAATATGTATTTATTTACAAAAAAAAAACAGTATATAAGTATACTATCAGTCAATCTAGTTTTTATAGTACAAGCTCTACTTAGTTTGAAACTAGATGGCGTTGTGTGTCAGATGTCCGAATATTTATAATTATAATTTAAAAGTTGGAATAATTTCGATGTCTAATCACATTTGTTGTTGCAGGTCAAGTACTGTCAGCTCACGTGGCCGGCAAGGTGGTGATGAAGTCATACTTGTCTGGCATGCCGGAGTGCAAGTTTGGTATCAATGATAAGATTGTCATGGAGGCTAAAGGGAAAGGCAATGGTAAACTATACATTATTTTATATCAATCAACAGCCTTTACTAGTCCACTGCTGGACATAGGCCTCTCCTTAGAAAGGAGGTTTTGGCCTACTATACCAAGCTGGCCAGACCGGTTGGTATAGGGTTTGTGTCAAGTTTTCCTACTCTCTGCAGTGCTGTTGTCCTGCGTAGTTTGCTCCCTTAGTCGTTTCTTACGACTCACACGGGATGAATAGGGGTGGTGGCACTCTGTATTCTTAATCCGTCACCACACGGACTCCATTATTTCTTTATATGATAACTATGTATAGTAATTAAGATACATGGTCACATTTATATTACCACTAGATGACCCGGTGAGCTTTGTATCACCTCAGGAAATTAATTTCTTATGTAGCTATCTCCTTCTAAGTTTAATCACAATATGAATATCTGAAGAAACCCATAAATATTTGACAACCATCAAATAGGTTGATCCTTAGTCACTGTGACACTATTTATTTGTATTTTGCAAATTTAAATACACGACTCCAATACTGCGTATATACATATTTTGACGATTCGTAATTATTTAATAATGTTCTTTAATTTAAAGAGATCCAAGTTCCGGCAACGGCATCAAGAAGCAACGTTTTGTATGGGAAAATAAAATTCTTGTGTGGCGTGGCAAAAAAATGCAAGGAAAATAATAGAAATTATTTTCCTTGCATTTTTTTCATATTTTGTTACCGCCGCCTACTACTACGCTGTGTAGGTTCGATCCCCACATGGGACGACACTTTGTGTGATCCGCAAATTGTTGTTCTGAGTCTGGGTGTTCTTTGTGTCCGTTTCATGTCTGTTTGTAAAGTCCCCCGCGACACAGGATATGTTCCTAATGCGGGAGTCGTATTTAAGAAAAAAAAAACTTTCTCTGGACGTCATCAAATATTCCAAAACTAAAATTAGCCAAATCGGTTCAGCTGTTCCCGAGTTTTAGCAAGACTAGTGAACAGTAATTCATTTTTTTTTATAATATAAGAAGATGTGTAGTTACAAGAAAATTTATAATTGATACTAGCCCAAGTAAAATAAAAGAAGGAATAGGATTCCTTCAGTAATGAACCAATATGGCAAATTCTTTTTTTATTTGGTGAGTGTATACTCTCTGTTTGGTCCCATTCAAATTTGAAAAGAAAGTAATACCCCTAAGGGTGGATAATGAAGGAATGTAGTATGTTATACTTTTTTTAAATAAAGTTTTTCACAATTTAATTTTGTTGTCTTCAGGAGGTATATCGGGCAACACGGACAGTGACCCGGCTCGGTCTGGCAAGCCGGTGGTGGTGATCGATGACTGCCAGTTCAACCAGTGCGTTAAGCTCAGCAAGTTCGAGACGGAACACTCTATATCTTTCATACCTCCTGATGGAGAGTTTGAGCTTATGAGGTTGGTATCCTTCTTTCTTCCTCTATTGTTATCGTGATCCAGGTAAAGTAAGTTTACCAATGTATGCCTATATGGTCTATAGAATGGTAAATGGTACAATGGTTGTAAAATGTATATACTTTATAATAATAATAAAGCTTTATTTAATTCTATTCAGCCTATTAAAATACTTTCTGATTAATAAATATAATTCTTTTGAAATAATTTAAATTGCATTATGATCAGATTAAATTAATTCACTTTATTACGGTTATTATTTTGTTTGTATGGCTATGTTATGGCTGTTATGGAGCCCGGGTAAAAGCCTCCTTTAAGGACTTCCATCTTTCTTTGTGTCTAGCCAAGTGTATCCAATTTTCTCCTGCTACCTTTACCAGTTCATCTGTCCATCTAGCGCATGGGCGGCCTCTAACTCTACGACCTGTAGGGCCTTGCCAGTTCACCACTCTAATGGTCCATCTATCGTCAATAATAATAAACTTTATAAGTGACAAGAAATTAAAAATATATGAAACTATTTTTAATTAACAGAACTTATGATAAAATTTATGTTTTAAAACTCCAAGGGGAAAAATTTGTATGCTCATTAAGCTTTAAAACAAATGTCTACATCCAGGTACCGTACCACAAAAGACATCTCGCTTCCATTCCGAGTGATTCCATTGGTCCGTGAGGTTGGCCGCACCAAGATGGAGGTGAAAGTAGTTCTCAAGAGCAACTTCAAGCCCTCGCTGCTCGGCCAGAAGATCGAAGTGAAGATACCCACTCCACTGAATACTAGCGGAGTGCAGCTTATCTGTCTGAAAGGGAAGGCCAAATATAAGGCTTCGGAGAATGCCATTGTTTGGAAGTAAGTATTGTAAAGTGCTAATTTATAATACACAACATGGGACACACGGACATCTGATCCTAAACTAGGCAGACCTCGTGGTGGCCAAATTGCTTTTCCAACTCCTACTGAATGGGACGAATTTGAATGTCTTATGTGCAGTATGGCACACCTCTGCCGTGCCAATCCAAAAGAGTGTTTTGCCTTAACAACGTTCAATCAATTTTTTACGTCGCGTCGGTTTAGTACTCCCCTTTTTTTTTTTTATTTCCGTGCGGAAATCCCCTCGGATACCACCTATCGGCGGCATGTCGGACCCGAACCGACTAAAACCGCACGCCGTCTCGGGTACTAATAGTAGGGGAACCAGGTATACCCTAGAAAGGAAGTCGGTTTAGTACCCCTGATCAACACTTTTGTTATTCTAAAGTGTATTTTAGAAGAGATAATAATCTAAAAAATACTGTATTGTATTGAAATTATGCACAGAGAAGGAAAACTTGACACAAACCCTATACCAACCCGTCTGGCCAGCGTGGTATAGTAGGCCAAAACCTCCTTTCTAAGGAGAGGCTTATGTCCAGCAGTGGACTATTAAAGGCTGTTGATGATGATGATGATGATTGAAATTATGGTTTAACATTGTAAAAAACTGTAACAAAGCTTTCAAAGTCAAAAGTCGTTTTCAAAAGTTACAGTGTATTGGATTGGCACGGCAGTCCTTGTGGTCTGAATACCTCAATTCCGACTTACCGCCCCGTAAATCCTACTGGGGTGACGGCCCGATGGCTTCCGTACTTACAACAAGTTATATTTTTTTAGATTTCATATTATTAACTCTAAAAACATGCTTTTTTTTCAAACATTCAATATTTGGAATGAATGATGAAAACAGTTAGTCCGGTTAATCAGGACTACACTGTAATAATAAACCAACTCCTTGTTACAACAGCAACGTCTTAAAAACTAGCTTGGAATCTGTTCAAACATACAACCTTCTATTTGTACGAAGTGATAATTCGACACGTTTTCACGGCTGCAAAAGAACTATACTCCATTCGCGTTAAGAAAATAGTGACGCATCGATCAAGAGCCGCACCCTGATGAATCAAGAATCGCTTCGTACGAAAGCCCAAGCTTTCGTACGAAGCGATTCGCGAAAACCTGCACAGATGGCGTAGTGGTTTAAGCGGTCGCCACGCCGCTTCCTATTACGTCGAGTGTTGTGGGTTCAAACCCCACATGGGACAACACTTTGTGTGATCCACAAATTGTTGTTCTGAGTCTGGGTGTACTTTGTGTCCGTTTTATGTATGTTTGTAAAGTCCCCCGCGACACAGGATTTATTCCTAGTGCGGCAATTGTCTTATAAAAAAAAAAAAAAAAACTGATTGGTCAAGGTGCGGGGCTATAATTTTCATTACTGTTATATATCATGTAAATTTAACCATTGTTTGTCCTGATTTGAAATAACACGGAATGTCCTCGTAAAATACACAAGTCAAAGTTGACATTCTTCTTTCACATAACAAATGTTTATGTTACAGAATCAAGCGCATGGCAGGCATGAAAGAGACCCAGCTCTCAGCGGAAATCGAACTGTTGGAGACAGACACCAAGAAGAAGTGGACCAGACCACCTATCTCGATGGGATTCGAAGTTCCATTCGCACCCTCTGGTTTCAAGGTAATGCTTAACTTTAAATATAATCATATCAAGCAAGAATTATTTGTTTTTTTTTCATGGTATATGGGAGCAAACAAGCAGACGGGTCACCTGATGGTAAGTGGCTATCGCCGCCCAAGGATACCTGCAACTCAAGAGTCACAGTCACTCTCCCCCCAGAATCAGGAGGAAGGTCAGGGTTTCGGCTCCGATAACTTCACTCACTCGGTGCAAAGCAACACTGGTTTTAAGTGAGGCCGTGGTAACCGCTCCGGTCCATTTGCTTTTTATGCTTTTTTCCAACTTGGCCAACTACTGTGGCCAATTTATTACCCTGACTGCTATGCCAGACCAGAGGTCGTGGGTTCGATTCCCACCCAGGACAAATAATTGTGTGATAAGCATGATCAATTGTTCTATGTCTGGGTGTACTTTATCCATATGTATGTAATTGGAAATATATAAGTATGTTTATCAGCAGTCTAGTCACCATAGTACAGGCTCTGCCTAGTTTGGGATCAGACGGCCGTGTGTGAAATATTATTATTATACTACGATTTGGGCCGATAGCAGTGTGTCTGGTATGTCCTTTAGGGATAGAACATAATAGAAAATAACTATAAAGAGAGCAGTGCTAATTGAATAATAATGATTGTTTTAGGTTCGCTACTTGAAGGTGTTTGAGCCCAAACTGAACTACTCCGACCACGATGTGATCAAATGGGTGCGCTACATCGGACGGTCGGGACTCTACGAGACGAGATGCTAAATGTTCACCGGTTGTATGTGAGTTACTGTTATTATGAAATTATTTATTCAAGGTCATTAAAACAACAAGCTGATTATTGAAAAAAAAACCCTGCAGAAAAAGTGAAGGTACTCAAATTTGAGATTAATCTAACGACACCTTCCAAGTCAAAATCTATTGAGCTGTTTAGACTACAGTGTGTGATAAAATAATAAGAAATATACATACATAAAACTTGAAAAATATACCAATGTTTCTGGTGGTAAAAATTCACCAGAAGGTTTAACTGCTGAACCTTTGTATTCTATGAAAAATAATAAATTAATGTCTGAAATTAACGCAAGGTTCGGTTTATTTCATAGAGAGTCACAGAAGTTAAATAAATTTCTCCTCGATGGTTCAGTGGTAGCGTATGCGACTGCTGTTCTGAGGTCTCGGGTTAGATTCCTGAGTTGGACCAAATGAATGAACTGCAAATATTTGTTTCGAAGTTTTTGTGTTTTCTATGTAAAATATGTATGTATGTATTCTATCAGACAATCTAACTTTGATAGTACAAGCTCTGCTTAGTTAGAAACTATAGATGGCGTTGGGTTTCAGATGTCCGCAATATATAGTATAAAATTATTTTTCCTAAAAATCTCGTAATAATCCTACCGTTTGAACACTCCTGTGAAGACAGAACATCGTGATACATTCTGACACGAACATTATCTGGAACATTCGATTAGTTCCACATGCCTTAACTTACGTGCGAGTGTTGTCAAAATTTCTGATGTTTTTTTCCCATTTGACAGGAATGCACAGTGGATCGGGAAATACAGAATATGCTTCAGAAATGGCGTGTTACATAATATATTATTTTTTGTATATAATTTCAACAGATCACGTACATTTGTGATTCATTTCGAATGTATAAATGTTATACAATTTCATTGAAGTTAGGGTTTCTGAACGGTTTTGTATGCAGGTTCATACCTACTGGCTTTTTAATATTTAAATTAAATTCAGAGTTCTATATTTGAAGCAAGCAATGAGGTGTCACGAAACATACAATATCATAATCTATCTAAACTTTTTATCAACATGTAAACAAATCTAAATCAAATATACATATAGTTGTAAAACTAAACGTGGTTTGTCTTGCTCTTGTGGTATAATTTTAATGAAAAAAAATCTACTTATAAATAATCATTTTTGTGATTTATTATTTTATTGAATCTCATTAAAATGGGTTTTATACGATATCTCTTGTATAATTTGCTCCTATGAACTTTTGCGTACTGAAACTCATAAAATATATGAAGGCAACTCCATTAAATACGTTTAAATTTTTTTATTATGTCAGAAAATAATCCTACTGACCTAAATATTATTGTAAAATACATGCGTTAACTGGTTTTTATGAAATCTTATTACAGACGTTTGAGAAATTACTAAATTGACGCTCATTACGCAAAAGGTTTTTATTAACCATTCCTACATTTTATGCTATTGTTTTTTTAACGTTTATGTATATTTAGTAAATATTATATGTTTTAGAATATTACTGAAATATGAGGTTATGTAATATTAGGTAATCTATAGTATTATACGTTAGACTTAGAGATTAGGAATTCACCATAAATCCTGCAATATTTTGGGTCGAAGTAAATGAAATAAAAAACTACTAATATATAAAGAACTGCCAATTTTAGTTAACGTTATCTAGAAATATTTTTGCTCATTGAAATATGGACAAAACTGATATTTTGCGTTTTAGAGGAATTAGCAAACGTGTCAAGTGGCTATCGCCGCTCAAGGACAATTGCACCTGAAAAGATACGTTGAAGCTTTAAAGTCCCTCTCCACAGGGAAGAGGCTCAAAGGAACAACTCCTCTGGTCACTTCACTCACTCTGTGAAAACTAACGAAATAATTATCTAACTCCGGTTTTCTGTAAGGCCGACTAAATACAGCTCTCCTAACGTTAACAATTGCATTATTTATGGCGGATTCCTTATCATTAGACGTTATTGAATGAAAATGGTAAAGTTGAATTCATAGTTAAATATTCTACAGCTCGTAAATAATATTCATTTCGTTTGAAATTGTTCACTTTGATTCGCATGCAATGAAAATTTATAATGCTATTTTTCTTTTATAAATACTCTTCCATTAAAGTTTTGCTGAAAATTTGATTTCTACTTTATATAGAGAAATAGATGTATCTATACGAATGTACACTGTATATAAATGGAATAGATTTGAATTTCCATTGCACGCGAGGGTGTCGATGCATGCTGTTATAGGGAGTGCTTATAATGTATTGTGTTACAAAAACAATGTACAATAAATGGATTATTAAAAAAATGTGTTTTATTTACATAAAGTGTAATATGTCAAATGTAATGTTCAGTTTGAACCCAGTCTGGGTGGGTTACATCACATTAACAGCCTTTAATAGTCCACTGCTGGACATAGGCCTCTCCTTAAAAAGGTTTTTGGCCTACTATACCACGGTGGCCAGACGGTTTGCTATATGGTTTGTTTTAAGTTTTCCTTCTCTTTGAAGTGCTGTTGTCCTGCGTAGTTTGCTCTTTTAGTCGGCTCTTACGACACTCATGGGATGAATAGGGGTTATGATACTCCGTGTTCTTAATCCTTCAAGACACGGACACCGTTCAATAGGCAATTTACTGTGGTTTGTATGCATAACAGAAAACTCGTAGCCCCATAGCAAACTATTATAGTCCATCAACGTCGTGCGCGACCGTCCTGCGGGGTGACAGACGGTGGCGGGGACGAGGTACTCAAGATGTCAGCGGGTAGCGGGTGGTGTAGCGGGGAAGGGAAACGCTTCTCTTCGTGTGTAGCCGTGTGCTAGAATGACGCGCTACCTCGCCCCCGCCAGTCTGTCACCCCGGGGGACGGTCGGGCACGAGATCTCCGGGTTATAGTCAATTTTTGTAAGAGACCATAAAAAAATATGAGACAAACAATTGAAATAAATCTTTTTTGATACACAAGGAAATTGGGTAGGTTTTCATGTGCATAACTTTATGCTTCTGTCTCTGGCATTATATAAAATTTATTTATCTTAATAATGAATGTATTTCGTAATCTTCAAACCAGGGTTCAAGTCGAGATTAGGTATAAACAGACGTGTGTGATACCTTCTTGAAATATTTTTTATTTTTTTATTTTTGTTTTTTAAAAGACAACTCCCGCATTAGGAATAAATCCTGTGTCGCGGGGGACTTTACAAACATACATGAAACGGACACAAAGAACACCCAGACTCAGAACAACAATTTGTGGATCACACAGTGTCGTCCCATGTGGGGATCGAACCCACAACCCTCGGCGCCTAGGTTTACATCAGTCAGTCAGTCAAAACTTTACTAATTGTGTACGCTGCAGGACTGAATCTAATCAATAAATAATTGAAGCCCAAAGCTTAAAATCAAGAGTATCTAAGTACATGAGAGAGATACAAAGACATTACTCTGGATTACGAAAACGACAAAGGATGATTAAAATGTCGGGAATGAATGTGATCACTTAGTTAATAGGTAGTAGGTGCAGTAAGTACAACTTAGATGTGCCTGATGCTTCAATAAGTATGCATTGACCGTGTAGATCAACATAACCTCAACATAATTATAATATCACTAGCTTTTGGAATAATCACTCAGGAATAATATACCATTCTAACATTGAAAAACAGTTTCAAAATCGGATCAGTAGTACCAGATATAACCCCGAACATACAAACTCACAAACTTTAGATAGATTAGATACCTTTTTATTGTACAATAAAGACAATAATAATACAGTGAAACTCTTTATTGTACAATAAACATATAATAATAATACAGTGTATACTCGTATACATTAGTGTGTGTTATGATCTGAAGTTATATACTTAAACGAAACAAAAAGAGAAAAATATAAAAAGTTTTACAATTGACGGTCTTCTCGCGATTTGCGATCTCTTCCAGGCTCTGGATTGAGAAGGAGCATAGGAATGAGATGGGGAGTTGCAATTTGTAAATCGAAGTTTCCTGAGTATGTATGTATTATTGTAATTAAGAGTATTGTTATATGCAAACTCATTTAAATATACATACTAAACACATTTTACGAAATAAGATACATTACAGACACAAGATTACATCAAGGTCCTAATCGCTCAGCAATTTCGGAAATACTCCTTCAGTAATTTTTTAAAAAGTTTGGGCTCGTGTGTTGGACCATGACAATACATTCCACAAACGCATGGCTTGCACTGTAAATAACTTGTCCATAAAAGTCGTAGTGTGTTTCGTCATTTTCAAAGTCAAGTTCTCTGACGATCTTGAATGCGTATCATATAAGAATTAGGGTTAGGTGTTAGGGTTAGGGTTAAACAAAATATTGTATAATAGTGAAATTATATGAATATTCCGGCGATGCAGAATGGGGTAACCAGTTGAGCTTATTCGGAATTTCAGAAATATGGTCAAATTGCCGCAATCCAAAAATTAACCTTATGCAAAAGTTTTGAAACCGCTCAACCTTATTAAGACTTTACCTCTTTCTAATCTAATATATAAAATTCTCGTGTCACGGTGTGCGTGGTTGAACTCCACCGAAACGGCTCGACTGATTTTCGTGAAATTTTGTGTGCATATCGGGTAGATCTGAGAATCGGCCAACATCTATTTTTCATACCCTTAATTTTTAATTATTTTTTTGTCATTTTTTCTTGAAATAATGTATATGGCAAAACAATGTTTGCCGGGTCAGCTAGTATTAGTATAAATAAATGAAAGAAAAAACTACATTTCAAAGTAATTCAATATCTTAAATGTTAAGCTTCTCTTTAGAATTACTTACTATAAATTAGTAAAATTGTTTGATGTGAAAACATCCTTAATCTTACGTTCTATTTACTGAACACAAACAACAGGGGGGCTTAAAATAAAGACCTCTGTATTCGCGTATTATTATAATTATGTGGTAAAATCTCAAATCTAAAGTTTTAGAATAGATACATT